AAGGACAGAAAGGGAAAGGAAATGAAGAAGAGGGAAAAGAAAGGATGGTATAGTGAAGGAAGAGGAGAAATGGAAAGAAAATGATTAGGTAGATAGAAAGAGAAATGCAGTAAAGAAGGAAAATCAAATTTAAAAATCAAATTTCGATATAAACCTTTGCTTTCTCTGGGTCAGTGGCTTCTTTTCTGTAAAAAAAAGGCTGGTCTCAATTAGCCATTCCGAGGTTGAGGTGAAAAAACTATTGGGTCGAGTTGGCATTGCAGTGCATTGTGGGACTGTTTTCCTTAGAAGACATATTTCCAAGATGGCGTCTATTTCGTCCCCTGAAACAGTCCCAATGCGAACTTAACCCAGGTTTTTTCTTAACCTCGGAATGGTTAATACGATCAAAAAACGATAACAAACAAGCAATCGAAGGCTTTTCAACTTGTTTAAGTAAGATGTATTTTTTTTAGCGGAAACGTTTTATGTAAGATGTTCAGCATTATCTCAAACTACCACAGGGAGCCCGGCTTTGGGATTTGTACATGAATAAATAAATTAATAAAGTGCTTTGGGTTTCCTGCGTTGAAATTTGAAGCAAGACGCTGATACGTTGAATTTCCGGTAATCGTATTACCAGTAACTTGATAGTAGATTAACGTAACGTATTAGTGTAACTCACGCCGTAGTAAATGGTCTTACCATTTACTAGGGCGTGCGTTACACTAATACGTTAAATTTGAATTATAAGCTGCTCTCGARTTACTTACATTAATCTGCTATCAAGTTACCAAATCTCAACACAGGAAACCCAAAGTACTTTATTGACTTATTTATTCATGTACAAATTCTAAAGCCGGGCTCCCTGTGAAACTACCAGGTGATCTCGCCTTGAAACGCGTAAAGGATTATTTGTCAAATTATTTGTTTCCTATTTCATAAACAAGAATGTTTTTTTAACACAAGTGAACTTAATAAATAACGGTGATTTTTCTTCCATTTTAAAATATCCCTCCAAGCGGCAAAAATCGATAATTGAGCGCGTGCGTGCAAATACCAGCATACGACGTGAACTATGATTTATTATGTTCACATGCATGAAAATGACTAAATCTTCTTCTTGTATAATTTTAGACTTRAACACTGAGTTAAACATAGAGTTTCTGATTGGCCGAGCGATTAGTGATTCCGAGACGATATTCAATGCTTTACGGTGATTATGAGGTTTTCCTACGTTTACCAGAGCGGAAGTCCTACTAAAACGCTGGGKTTTTTTTTCTTTTTTAAGAATCCTGATATTCAAATCTCTTATCCATTATACAAAAGACAATTACGTTAAATATTTAAGTGGTTCAATCTTGACAACACGTGCAAGCGGGCGACACATTTAGTATTCCAAATAATATAATATAACCTCGTTCTGGGCTATTCAATATGGAAGTGAAATAGCTCTGGAACTTCTAAGATTTTTAAAACAAAATAAATCAAAAGTTAAAAAATGTGTAAACTTAAAAGTCTGTCACCACGACTACACAGGCTGGTGGCTTTTGTATTCTTTGGATTTTACTTTTTTTTTCCCCCCAGGGAATGACATGTTGAAGGGTTATATGTAGATCACACGTTAAATTTTTTGCATAAATTTCCTCGGTTAAGTTTCGTTTGTTTGTTTGCCAACGCTACAGTACTGTCAGCCCATAATTCTAATCAGACGTGTTTTGAAATCTAATACTTACTATGACAGAGTGAACTCCAAAAGAGTCTTACATTTTGACCTTCCCGGAGAGGCTTGACTTCAGTTATGAGTTTTCGCTTGCGAAAATTTAGCCTCGTACTCTTCGTGTTTAGTTTTTTCGTAGGAATACAGTTCGTCTCCTTTGTTTGGTTGAATTCAAAAGGAAAGACAATCAACTATTTCCAAGGATTTCAACATCCAATCCACAATAACAGTCATAATGGTAGTTCTATGAGAAGCCCTAAAGAAACACCTTCATTCATTCCTAAAGAAAGCCCTAAAATTACAAACGATGAAGCAATGCGAACGGAAACTAAAAGCCCGCAAAGAACGACTACTTTACGACAGACCTCTCCATCTACAACCACGAGCAATAATTCAAAAATATCGCCACCAACAGCAAAGACAATTGATATGGAAAATGAATACCACCCGCTTGTAAACTTTTCGTTCGTGTGGCCAGAAACGACACCAGATTTGAAAGGCGAACGAGACTTTTTTCTGGTTGTGCTCGTGAATTCAGCCGCTAAAGGAAAGAAGTACAGAGCTCGCCGTAATGCCATCAGAAAAACATGGGCAAATATGACTAATTGCGAACATTCGAAAATGAAACAAAATCCTACATTACAACAGCTCAGATGGATTCTAGTATTTTCTTTGGGGAAGGCAGACGATCCTGGCGAAAACGAAGCAAACGCCGAAGAATCTAAAAATCACAACGATTTACTTATTGGCGATTTCCTTGACCATTATCTGAATAATGTCGTTAAAGTATTTATGGGTGAATTGTGGGTATCAACAATGAATGTCCGCTATATTCTCAAGACAGATGACGACGTTTATGTTCGAATACCTTCGGTTATCGAATGGATTGTGGTGCAGAACTACCCCAGTTCATTCTATGGCGGTGCTCCATATTTCAACTTTAAAGTGGATCGAAACCCTAACGGAAAATGGGCAGTGAGCAAGCGATATTTTGAAGAGGATATCTTTCCTCCTTTTTGTGCTGGAGCTTTTTATGTTCTTTCAACAGATATCTTAAGCAAAATGTTTAATTATGTGCGACGAAGGAAACCATTTCATACGGACGATGCCTATGTTGGTATTGCCGCTCGAGATTTGAGTATTCCTGTTAAAAGAATCCCCGGTCTCCTACTTGAGGACAATATGCCAATTTTTCTAGGTAGCTTTAATGATTGTAGGTTATTACAAGCCAGAGGATTTGGACACAGTATTGAGCCCCCTTTAATGAACGCGGTTTTTAATCGATTAGACGAACTATGCGTCAGAAACGCCACTTGTTAACCCGCGACAAAAGGTAGGATTTATAACTTCATTGGTAATATTAAGAATGCTATGATTTGATGGGACACTTAATACTAGTACCAGAACACGTTGGAATTTGTATTGGAACGCTATCTGTTTATGTATGTATGTACCGTATGTTCACGAGACGCGACAGTACACGATAAAGTATTCTAACTCTTTGGCAATTGACGAAAAAAATATTTAAAAACATTGCTAGAAGATGTATTGAAAGACTCAAGCAAGTTTAATATTTTCTAATCATTTAGTTTTCGAAATCACAGATTTCGCGCATGCAGTAAAACCAAACCCTCTTTCGCAAACAAACGTTTTTAAGGTCGTCTCGCAACGCTTCTCTCACCACCAACCAGAGCAGCGTTGCGTCTGCGAAGCCGAGACTAATCAAAAACATGAAATAAAAACAAAGTTGATAGACTGGCAAATAGCGCTATTTAGCGACTAATAGTTGCTATCATTCAGCCAGAGCATAATTACAGCTCCTAATAATAAAGTTTTTCAAGTAAACTTTGAAAAGGTCCCTGCGTAGGAGCCTTTACAGAATTCGTGTCCGTGCTGTATCGACTCTAAAAACGCTTCGTAAACCCGATACAGCACGGCCACTCATTCTGTAATCTTCACCTAATATTTATCAGTATAAACTTTGTTTTTATTTCTAGTTGTTACGCACGACAGAGTGATTTCTATAAACCCGTGAAATAAATGTTAGAAAAATAATCATTAATACAAACTAGTACGACTCTAAAGCCTGGTTCACACGAGCAACGCAAACGCAAACGCAAGAAAACTACGTGTGAACTACAGTAACACAAACGCAAACGCAAGGAATGGAAAATTTTCCATTTTCTTGTGCTTGCGTTTGCGTTGCTCTTGTCAACCAGGCTTAAACAATGAAATAATAAAACATAGTCAATAGCTGCTAAAATCACTCTAACATCGACCAATCACCAGCAGTTTTCTAAAGTGACGGTCTTAACTTGTTTGATGAACTAAACCACCTACGAAGCTTTGTTCATATTTATTCAAATTTTAGTCTGAAACAATTCAATAAATTTAAGTTTTGAATGCCACTGTTTRAATATTAATAAATTACGTTTAGCTTGAAGATCATATCCAGGACTCATTAAACATTWAGGCCCTGGCTAAACGAGGAAACATGTTTCCAGAAACATGTTTTCTTAAATGTTTCCAAAGGTGGCAAAACTGTCAGGGAACATCAGGAAACATGTTTAYTCAATATCGGTTAGCGTATGCRCACTTTCAAGATAGAGCTAGCGTTGCTARGTWACGAACTTTTAGAATGTTGACTTTCGTGGCTRAACGAGGAAACATTAGTTAACATTGTTTTCATGCGTCTTGGAAGCAAAATTTGTTGCACRTAGCAATGTTTCGCATGTGGCTAAACTTGGAATCATCGGGGAACATGCGCGCGGGAAACATGTTTCCTCGTTTAGCCAGGGCCTTAAGCCTAGGGCAAACGTCGAACTTTCCATGCACCAAACTTAATTACATCAAAGAATGCCGCCTCATTATCACCTGATATCCATTGTTTTTAATGAGTTCGGTGCATGGAAAGTTCGACGTTTGCCCTAGGCCTTAGACCCTTATATGCAATACCTCAAAAATTTCGCGTACTTACGATATTTTGTTATAAAGGTAGAGCGCATGCAGTAAAACCATGAAATAAAAACAAAGTTGWTACTGACAAATAGTAGCTATTTAGTGACTAATAGTTGCTATCACTCAACCAGAACATTTATTAAACAAAAGACACAAATGGTCTCTTGCGTATTTGTCTATATATGAATGTTTTGGTTGTTYTGGTTCATTTCATTTCCTTGAATAGTTTTTATAGACTTTCAATACATAAATATCGAATTCTATTGTTTTCGGTTGGAGCTGGAATTTTGGAGGGTTCTAAAGTGGGGATCCTAATCCAATTTCCGAATCCCAATTTTGATCAAATTCAGACAGGAGCGACAGAATTTTACCACTGGGTTCCCGTGATGTTCTTTGTTAGTGTGATTAAAAAAAGAAAGAAAAAAAAACAAACAAACAATAACAATGTTTTTTGAGCTACACAGCATGCTTTGCACGTTTCCATTTGATATGCTTTTCCTCTCTCTCTTTTTCTTTTTTTTTTTTTNTTTTTTTTTTTTTACATCATTATTATGTTAATTTCTTTAACAGTGTTTTCCCCATGAATGAGGATCTTAGTATAAAACTTTATTTCTTTAACATTGCTTTTCCCATAGATGTTTTTAGTTTGAAGTAGAACAGTTTTCGTGAAATTTTCTCGACAAGAAAAACGTCATAGAACACCGGTAGACCAAACTTCGATAGTTTTTAATCGCATCTCGTTGAGCGCACGCAGTAACAATGACAGGACTGGGGTCGAAAGTGACCGTTACACTTTTTGTGACACACGCAACACAGGGAGCCCAAGCCTTTTTGGTTATAACGAATCTTGTTTGGACACAGGTAGCCCRAGCTTGGTTTCTATGGTGTCATGTTATAAGGAAATGTATGGGGATTCATCAACAATTTCAATAAAATCATTTAAACATGAAACAAAGCCTCGAAATTTTACCCGATCATTGAGAAATAACACTTCTTTCACTCTGTGTGGTTACTTTTTGAAAAACGGGCTAAATTMAAAAAATAACCAATGAATCCACATACATTTCCTTATAACATGACACCACAGAAATCAAGCTTGGGCTACCTGTGGTTTGGAAAATTTTAGTATGGAATTTTTTTAAATATTAATATAACKTACCTTTGTTTTTTCCTGGCTCTTTTCATTCTTTTCTGTAACGATTTGTTGATTTCTTCTTCCGTGGTAATTCTAAACAACTCTAGTTGGGAATCATTTCCCTTAAGATAAAAAAACGCAGAACGTCATTTAATGATGGTGATATTTTTACCTCATACTGCTCTCCCACTAAACCTCCATTTCCCCCATTCCCTTCTCTCCATTTGAAATCTCCCTTTCAATAGACCCCTTGGAGCTTAATTTGGAGGAGAAAAGAAAAGAATTTCAATCTCCTGAGAACTGGAAACCTATTGTAACGTCCTCAATTGAGCTGCATTTCGACGTGATGCAAAGGKTTTATAGCCAACTTTCGATACTCTGGTCGAGGGATGAAGCACGACACAATCAAGACTCAAGAGAAAAAGAATAATCATGATTACATTGATTGGTTTCCCTGGAGCCTGGGGGGGTGGGGGGGGGTACCAAACATGGTATGGTTTTCAGCGATTCTACTCTAGAACAGGGTATATAAAGTCGCGCTCGCTCGAGGACAGGGTATGTGAAATCACGCTCTCTCCTCTCTGGAACAGGGTATCCATTTTCGCAATACCGGAACAAGGTATAAAATTTCAGCGATTTTACTCTAGAACAGGGTTAGGGTTCAGTGGGCTCAGCGGCATATCCCTACCATAAACGGGCAAGAGTACCCCCTCCCGGGCCCTGGGTCCTCAATTCTAAATGTTTTGTGTTTGATCACTCAACCAGAATATGCAAAGTTGGCTATTTTCCAACTCTTCCACTTCTTTGTGCATACAAAAAGTCCCTGTGAAAACCCAGTATTAAGTATCAAGGGTTTTCCGGGTTCTCCAGGTCCTCCACTTCTAAATTCCAATTGGAATCCAGGGGAAGAAGAACCACTCTGTGGAATCCATTGTAATCCGATTATCATTTTTTATTTTTTTATTTCAACAGGTCTTTGCCAGTACCTGCCACGTAAATCAAKAAAATCATTTTATAAAAAAGTTAATGCATCTTTATTTATCACAGGTTTCTTCAGCTAGTTCCTGTGTCCTCCTTAACCCCACCCCTCCCCCACAGAGTGTCAGATTGTTTTTAGTCTTTATAACTCACCAAACAACCAAGTATTTGACCTGASTTGGAAGAATGTAATGAGGTGACTCTAGCTCGACTCTGGCGAATTACTGAGCCAAGAAGTTCACATGTAACTGGCTGACTCTCCTGAAACAAATGCAAACAATCACTTCAAGTAAGGGATGAATTCAAAAGATTATTTCTATGGGTTGCTTGTGGTGTGGGGATCAAGGGTCTCTGAGGGACTTTTTCTTACCTGTTTATCACTCTGCAAAACATCTGACTCATTTTCCAAGTCAGCRTCAATTGCTGATCGCTTAGCACCAAGTTCTGATGCTGGAGCATCCTGTGTGTTGGCAGGGTAACTGATCTTCCACACCCTTAACTCACTGTCGCCACAACCAGTAATCAGTCTTGATTCATTACTTGCAATGACAAATCCCCATACCTTGAAAAATAACGCATAGATTATATAATTTGAAACCATAGACTTTTCTCATAAATGGCTGCCAAATGAGGTTGGGACTAGTACTAGGGACAATTGAATGGAAGCGAGGTCAGAAAGGCCTCATTAGTAAACAAAGTCTACTCAGTACAATATTTTGTGTCAAAGTCATTCATGTCACCAATTCGAGTTCTTTTAAGTGTCTCTTGAAGTAAGGGTGAATGACTTTGACACAAAAGAAATTGATTCCATCTTGTTGAAAGATTAGTGCTTTTTATAGTTTGTACGCATACAATTTTACTAAACTCTATCCCATATTTTYAAGGAATGGTCAATGCTTTATGTACGTACATCCAGTTCTGGATGCATACAGGAGGTTRCTAAGCACGAAAGTAGTGTAAGAGTAGCACAAGGCATAGCCAAGTATATCTCTAGCTTCTTGCGTACTTCAGCAACCTCCCAAGTGCATCCAGAAATGGATATATGCACATTGACCACTGCGTTTATAACATAGCAAAACCATTAAACATATTTGTTTATCAAAAAAAAATTAAAATTTTGTTCTAATGAAATCTTCTTTACATAGTAAGCACTACTCAATCACGTAAGCGTGCACCAACAATTTCTGGATGCACAATCGAGCATGCTTATTAATCAATAATTAGAGGTCGCATTAAATTTTTTTTTTACCAAATGTATTTAAATTAATTGAATTCTGAAACAATCTCTGGTCCGTTTACATAACAGTACCTCACTTCTGTGACCAACCAATGTCAAGAAACAGTGTTGAGTATCAAGATCCCACATCTTTACCAACATGTCCTTTGAACTACAATGAATACGYATAGTTTTTGAGAGGAATACATAATATGAATACACCAAAGTGAAACTATGTCAACCAATTT